GGACATCATCAGCAAATGCTCTTACAGTGCAGTGCAATCCTAAGTATAGTATACCAGTAGTTCTCAACCTTTTCTTTGCTATGGAGCCCCTTTGAATACCTTTTGTGGCCATGGACCATGGCCACAGACCCCCAAGACTTAACTCAAGATTTAAATCATAAAATAATTTAGCATAATTTTCATTAAATGTCAATTAAATCAAATTTAGTTTTAGTCCTGATCCCATCTTGTAAATTCTCCAACACTGGAAGTTTTTAAGAAGAGATTGGATAACCATTTGTCTGAAGTGGTGTAGAGTTTCCTACCTAAGCAGGGGGTTGGACTAGAAGACCTCCAAGGTCCCTTCCAACTCTGCTATTTTATTCTATCTACTGTGGTTGTTTGTTTGTTTTTTGTAGAATAACCCTAGGCATATCAGTCAAAAGGAAGGATAGTCTTTAGCACAGAATGTTTTGCATGAACCATTCAAACCTAACTCATATATTTGAACTCATAAATGCATTACAGTATATGCAGGGTACTTTGGATTGGACTTACTCCCCCAATTCTATCTATCCTCCAGTGGGATACTATTATTGAACTCCTGTTTCTGATACTGAATGGGCACCTCCCAACTTTGCAAGAAATATTCTGCTTCAGGATTTCAAAGTCATTTTTTCAAGACTTCACGGACCTTCTGTGAGCACATCCCAGGCTCCCAGGGTTCCACAGACCCAGGTTGAGAACCACTGCTGTGTATTATTCAGATCTACTTCAGAGATTCTCAGAGAAGTCTAGCTAGGGTGACAAGCTCAGTTAAGCTCTCATCTTCTGAAACTTTTTGGTGGAATATGTGGAGATGAATAAGCTGCATGGAGTTTCATTTTCTATCCAATCTGAATGCTCCATGATTCACCTGAACAAATGAAAAGGGGTTATTTTCCTAAATGGTTAATCAAAATAAATACAGATACAAAATAAACATTTCCAACTTGCAAATCTTCCTGATGGATTTGAGATTGGTTCTCAAACTGCGGTTCATGGCATATTTGTGTGGAGAAAGTAGGAGGAAAGTCATTCAAAGTCTGTGCCTGCTTTGCTGAGTATGGTCACAGTGGGACGAGTGGTTTTGGAACAGGCTTAATGGAAAGCAAAATATAATCTGAATTTTGAAACTTGGTTAACCAGGAAGCGAGACATCCAAAAAAACATTTCAAAAACCATCCAATAATCACAGGAATGCTATGATTGGCAGTTCCCCATTGACTAATGATTTCTAACAAAGCATATAATGTATTTATAGCTTTTGGAAAGTCTATTTATTAAATTTATATATCACTCATCTTACCCTGAAAAGTGACTCTCTTACTGAAAATTTTTAGACTTCTGCTACTAATAAAAGTAACTTTAAAAAAAAAGGTTGATGAAAATTACTTATCTTTTAGAAAATGACATATTTTTTTTTACCATCCATAACATATTGAGAAAAGTCATATATCATGTTATGATGTCCTGGTATTAGAGTTTGACAACATCTGCTTTAGATTAATACGTCCATTTGGATATAAATAATCCCTGGTCCCTGCATATGGCCCCTGAAGATTTCAAAACGTATTTACTAACTTAATATTTTTTTTTAACTGACAGGAAAAATAATTTAGTATAATTTTCATTAAATGTCAATTAAATCAAATTTAGTTTTAGTCCTGATCCCATCTACTGTTTTTTGCAGAATAACCCCAGGCATATCACTCAAAGGGAAGGATAGTCTTTATCACAGAAAGTTTTGCATGAACCGTTCAAACCTAACTCATATGTTTGGGCTCATAAATGCATTACAGTATATGCAGAGTACTTTGGATTGGATTGACTCCCCCAACTCCATCTATCCTCCAGTGCGATCCTATTATTGAACTCCTGTTTCTGGTACTGAATGGGCACCTCCCAGCTTTGCAAGAAATATTCTGCTTCAGAATTTCAAAATAATCATGATGTCAGCATAAACAAAGAAGCTACCATGAATAAACACAAATATATGTGCCCCAAGATAATGTTGCAGGATTCCATCTGGGTCTGTCACAGGGACCAGAGGTTTAGTCTTCTGAGCTTTTGGACTTGTGCTGGAGCCCTTCCTCAGGGAACCTCTTTCTACTAGAATGACACATTTTGGTAGAGAAGTTATCTGAGATAGGTCTCCAGCATGAGTCCAAAAGCCTGGAAGACTAAACCTCTGGTCCCAGTGACAGACCCAGATGGGATCCTGATAAAAAGCTGTGATTGTGATTTTTGGAAAATTAAAAATTAAATTAAATTAAATTGAAAAATTAAAAACACTAATTCAAGGGCTGACAGTATAGAAAAGAGAACTTAATGCATAGGAAAGAGCCCTATTTTGTTCTGGGAAATTGGATTCCATCAACAAATTTAAAAAAAAACACTGATCAATTTTTTTTTTGCTTCAATCCAGTGGTGAAATTCAACTTTTTTTTACTACTGGTTCTGTGGGCGTGACTTGGTGGGCGTGGCTTGGTGGGTGTGGCAGGGAAAGGATACTGCAAAATCCCCATTCCCTCCCCACTCCTGGGGGAAGAGATTGCAAAATCTCCATTCCCACCCCATTCTGGGGCTAGCCAGAGGTGGTATTTGCCAGTTCTCCGAATTACTCAAAATTTCCGCTACTGGTTCTCCAGAACCTGTCAGAACCTGCTAGATTTCACCCCTGCTTCAATCCCACATAGGCATTTAGTAATCTGGAGAAAAGAACCAACCAATGAAGAAAGTTTAAGCTGTCTTGCAACTCTGGTTTCCATCTGACCTAAGATGTGCTTTTAAGTGTAGTTATAACTTGATTGCATGTATTTGCATATCATGTTTGATTAGAATCTGAGATCCACCCTGTGTGTCAGGATATGCAGAAGGGCTTCAAAATAAGAGGGGGGGAAAATAAAATAAGGAAAAAAATAGACAATGTGGAATGCGCAATTCATTCACTTCTTAGGTCAAATCTTATTTTGCTTACATTAAAAATGTTATATTTCATGAAAAAAAGACATCTACAAATGAACATGTTTATTGAAATAACTTACATTGTCGGTCTCCTATCATTCACACTGATCATAAGCTACTCACAACAACCAATAAAATCAGCCCCATAATAAGACATTATGGTGTATGATTCTCTTTATTTCATCAGGTAATAATATATTTTAGAAGAGAGTTTTATGTTGTTGATCATTAAATCCAAGCCAAGAAACAGGATTGCATGTCATAATACAATGCAAAATAAATAAAAAAGCATAAAATATATTGGTTCCCTTCTCAAACCACAGGCAGTTAGAATTTTTCATGTTTGATTTAATCTAAGTCCAAATAAAATATAGACTGGGAACCCTGAAACTGGAAAACCATCAGCTCAGAAGAGAACAACAAAATTAGTGAATAGTTGACTTTGGAATCACTGTTGAAAGGGGCAGATAATGAAATGCAAATGTCAACCCACAGTACAGCTAAGTTACAGGACTGTGCATCGTATTCAGGGTATCTACATATAGAATATTCCACAGAACACTGTCTAGCAGGCTTTCTGTTCCACCTGATCTTAGTCCAATACATCTTTTTCAAAAAAATAAATAAAAATAAAAACATTTGGGAAGCTAGCATGCTACAAGGTAAAGAATCAGTTTCAAATATTCTTAGAAAGTAAAATGGTAGGTGGAGGTAGCTCAGTAATTGAGTCAATCAATCAATCAACCAATCAATCCCCTCTAAATAAAAGGTAAAGTTTCCCCTCGCACATGTGCTAGTCATCCCGACTCTAGGGGGCGGTGCTCATCTCTGTTTCAAAGCCGAAGAGCCAGCGCTGTCCGAAGATTTCTCCGTGGTCATGTGGCTGGCATGACTAAAAGCCAAAGGCACATGGAAAGCTGTTACCTTCCCACCAAAGGTGGTCTCTATTTTTTTACTTGCATTTTTTATGTGCTTTTGAACTGCTACGTTGGCAGAAGCTGGGACAAGTAACGGGAGCTCATAGTATGTCTTAAATTTAGTATTCCTGAAAAAAATGTATATGACCACCAAATTAGAAATGTTTGCATTATGTTACTAAAATCTAGTTACAACAGCACAGAAAAAAATGACTTATGACCATTTTTCACACTTACAACCTTTATAGCAGTCCCATAATCATGTGATCAAAATTCAGATGCTTGGCAACTGTTTCATACTTATGACTGTTGCTGTGTCCCAAGGTTATATGATCCCCTTTTGCAACCTTTTGACAAGGAAAAACAATGGAGAAGCCAGATTCACTTAAAAACTGGGTTACTAACTTATCAACTGCAATGATTCATTAACAACTGTGGCAAGAAAGGACCTAAAATGGGGCAAAACTCACTTAACAAATGTCTCACTGAACAATGTAAATTTTGGACTCTATTTTGGTCGTAAATTTGAGGACTACCTGTAATAGGTTTTCTTTTTAGATTTTTGCTGCCCAGATAACTCTCTTCCCTCTCTCTTCCCTCATTCTATCCTAAGTAAAAAGGAAGAAAAAGGAAGAAAAAAGAAGAAAATAGCCAGCTGCAATTATCTGGGGAAGCCACAAGGTCCCCTGAGAATTTCATTTCTAGTGCATACTGCTGCTGTTGAGATGACACCTTACTTAACTGCAACAGCAGACAACTGTGTGGGAAGTTCAACCCAACTAGGTAGACCAGACCACAAAGTCAACTACACAAGAAGGCTAAAAATACTTTTATTGAGAGTGGCTATAATAACAGAATGTTGCATATCTGATTATGCTGTACCCCATCCTTCTTCTTATAGTTCAGTAAAGCTGCTTGAGCCACTTCCATACGATCTTGTTCTGGACTTTAGAAAAATGCTTCAGTCCTTTTTGCCTATCTTGACATATCTCTGTCAAGATCATATTCCTTATCTCTGCAGTAATAGCAGCTTGTTCTATCCTTCCTGCTGTGCTATTAATCCACTACAATCCAGATTATGGTAGTTCTACCACTTACATTTGTTGAAGACCCTGTTGTGGCCCACCAGTGGCCAGTGGAGCTGGCGGCAGACTCAGACAGTGAAGAGGTTGGGGAGGAACATGGGCCAGTCCTGGAGTCTGGGGAAGGCTCTGATGAGTTCTCTGTGTCGTAGGCAGAGATGGGGCCAGGGCCATCCAACAGTTATCAGCTGCCTTCGGAGTTGGAGATAAGTGGGGCAGAAGAACATCTGGAGCCTGTTCCCAATGTGCGCGTGCTCAGAGCTGTCAGGAGAAGGGAACAATTAAGGAACAGGGGTCGACTTGGGAGTAAAGGCACAAGGGGACACTGAATGGCCCCTCCCATAGGGAATAAATAGGAGCAAAAGGGGAGTGGTGTTTGCAAGAGACAATTATTAGTTTATTAGTATGAAGATTTGCTTATCTGAGTTTATGTCTCACAGCGACTCCTTGCCAAGTATCTCATTGTACAGCATCGTGCCTGGAAGCTATCAACCTGGCAAATATCCAAGGACTGATAAGGTTTGTGGTTGAAATTCACCCTTGAAAGACTGTTTGCCGGGACATTGCTGGATGTAAATGCTAGGAATTCACATTAGCCAAATAAAGTTTTTTCGGGACAAGGAGTCTGTTTCGTGATTTGGTGAAGCCAGAACAGACCCAGAACAAGGAGTCAATGCAAAGGGGAGGCTGGTGCCCCATGCCAGTAGACCCCAAGGTAGCTATACTTTTAATACAATACCATAAAGACCCCACCCCTGTCTTCATACACATTTGAAATGTATGAGAAATAGTGTCTCTTTTCTCTTGGAAAAACAGAGTTTTTCTTTCGCCAGAGCTTTCCTGAATGTTACATAACTAATTCACAAGCATCATGGAAGAAATTCCTGCTTGTCAAAGTTAAAAGTTTTTTAAATTATTTGAAATATATATTAAAAGAAATATGGAGGAACCCTCACCTTCATTGCTTGCTACCTCGTACATTCTAGAGAAATAAATACAACCTTCCAAGAAGCCAGCAATCTATCAAATTATTCTGAATATTTGTTATAGAAAAGCAGTAGCAAACTTTCTTGGAATGAATATTTGTTTCCAAAAACAAGTAATTAAATGGAGTGAACCTACAAATCAAGATTTTGGACTGTGTGTTGTCCTTCTGATTTCTTTCTTTCTTTCTTTTCTTTCCTTTCTTTCTTTCTTTTCGGTGTTCTTTAATCTGCCAAGGAATTCACTTGAGATATATACAGCTTCTTTTTAGGAAAGTATTAAGACCAGCAACAGCTGTAAAACTATCAAAGAGCAGTGTAATGAGCCTTTTCTCCAAATGCTAAAACTGCCAGCCAAGCATTTATCACCCATTCTTGTCAGGATCATGTTATTTTTTTATGTTGATAGATAAAGAGAGAAGTCAGCTTGGCCTGCTAGGAAAAGTTTGGTTACCTTATAAGTCAATGTAAGCTTTAGTCAGTGAAAAAGCCCACATAATAGCCAAGTACTTTCTCTGCCATATGCAGTTTTAATAGTCTACTCAAACCACACATTACTTGGAGACGAGAGACTCATTGATTTACTAAGCTGCAACTGATTCAAAACAGAGCTGTGTAACTCCAATGGGGTTTTGTTTTGTTTTTGTTTTTGGCCTACAAAAGCAATTTATTAAATCCAGAGTCTCCTCCCTACAAGCAAATCTACATGTGTTTTTAGGGAAGGGATATTTATTTTTCTGCTAGTTCATTAAGATAAGGATAGAAATTAAGGAACAGGCCTTTCTGCAACTCTCTAACTGATTATAGTTGAAGACAGTGTGTGAAGTGAATTACAATGGAAATACATTGGTTCAAATCCTGCAATTTTATTCTTTAATTGCCACTGTAACTTTATGAATTTTTTTATCTGCAATGTATTATATTATGTTAGCTAATGTGAAAGAGCCTGATTAAAAAATATTTTAAATAAATGCAAGTGAGGCTGAAAAATGTAAGATGTCTCATTGCATTTTCCTTCTTTCTACAATTAGCAGTCAACTAAGTAAAGAGAAACGTGGGTTTCTCTTCCAAATCACATCTCTTCCAAAACCATTATCATTTGAGTCACAGTGAAAAGATGACATTGCTAGTGACAACGAATTACATAATTCTTGCTTCCAATAGGCTAACTTTAAACAACGGTCTATTTCTTTATCAAACTAAAGAATTTCTTGACATCATTAGGTAGCACTACCATTTTGACTTGAAAATGAAAAAAAAAAATCTGATTTTGATCTGTTCTAAACCTTCTGTATGTATAAAAGAGCAGTATTAGAAACCTAGATACTGTCTCTAAATTCAGAATACATCCCATATTTAATTTTTCATAAATTTGACTTACATCTGATGTCTTGAGAAAAAGAAGAAGAAAAGCAAGAAAGAGGTTTTATTGTATTTCTGTGCCAGCTTTCAAGCATCTATGCTTAAGCAGTACAGGAGCCACAACAGAAACTTGAAAGCACAATGAAACAGTATGAGAAGAACACCAAATACTTTAGAGAGAATTCTTCTGCATTATGTTTTCCTACTGAAAGAGCCATTCATACACGAAGATGGAAAAAAGACAGCGTAAGATTATAATGGAACGTGGGAAAACCATGGAAGACAGGACAAAGAGATGCTGCCAAGGGAATGATCAAACAATAGTCAGAAGGACAGTGGGCAGGGCTGAAGACTCCCAAGGGACCCTTCCTAGTTTCTCTCGGACTGTATTGGAGATTATGGGAGAATTTTACTGTCAGACTTGCAAGATTCTGTCAACGTAGCTTTCTAACAAAGTAAAATTACTTTATCTGGTTGTGTTTCCTGTTTGGTCAACCTGGTAAGGCTGAAGAAGAGAGAATGAAAAATCCAACAGTAAGTTTGACACATAATTTTTACACAATATATTCAGAATGTAAGAGGTTTCTCTGTAGAAAAAAAGACAACTTAAAAATGATATGATCAAAGTCCATGGAACTGGCTATGAGTTAGTCTAAGCAGAAAGAGTTTAGGATTGGAAGGTTTTTTTTCCCCCCTTCTCCCATAATAATATAATCTTGAATTGTTCATCAGTTTATTTGGTGACAATGTAATTTTTAAAGCACATCTTCGTGTTATACATAAACTGTGGAAAGAATAACATGGGATGCATTTAATGACCACTCATCTAATTGGATAATAATGTTATTTCATGGATAATAATGCTATTTGTAGAACATGAATGTGTTTATTCCGCGTATGGCATACAATATCAAGAAAATTTACAAATGCTAGATACAATGCAGTCCTGACAGCCTAAGTTGCTAGTTCATTCTGTTCAGCACTTGTGTGCCTATCCTTGGTACACCATAGGGGGCAAACTAGCTTACACCAGCTGACTAGTGGTGCTTGGGTTGCTGGTCCTTCTGGATTCCTCCGTGAGTCTCGCCTCGCCTCCTGTTGCGTTGCCTCACATCAGTCAGGTCCAGTGCCGCCTTCTGCTCTCTGCACACACAAACACAGCTACATTTTTCCCACCAAAGTGGTATCCATCCAGGGCCGGATTTTCCTATAGGCTAACTAGGCTTCAGCCTAGGGCCTCAAGATCAAGAGGGGCCTACATTCAAATTGTTAGCAAAATTAAAATTACACTTTCACTATAGGTGAAAGGGCCTCATAAGTGGAATAGCCTAGGGCCTCTTTTCATCTAAATCCGGCCCTGTATCCATCTATCTACTCTCAATATTGCATGCTTTTGAACTGCTGGGTGGGCAGCAGAGGTGGGTTTCAGCAGGTTCTGACTAGTTCTGGAGAACCGGTAGCGGAAATTTTGAGTAGTTCGGAGAACCGGTAGTAAAAATTCTGACTGGCCCCGCCCCCATCTATTCTCTGCCTCCCAAGTCCCAGCTGATTGGGAGAAAATGGGGATTTTGTAGTAACCTTCCCCTGCCACACCCACCAAGCCACGCCCACCAAGCCATGCCACGGCCACCAAGCCACACCCACAGAACCGGTAGTAAAAAATTTTGAAACCCACCACTGGTGGGCAGGTGTAGAACATGAAAGCAAGACATTACTTCCAATAAACAGAAGCTCAATGCTGGAAAGCACAAAGCAGAAGCTGTTTATGAACTCAAGCCCTGCTTCTGGATTCTCCGTTGGCATCTGTTTGGCCGCCGTGAGATTAAAATACTAGATAGTCATCTTATTTATTTATTAGTTCAATTTATATGCCGCCTTTCTCCGGAGACTCAGGGCGGCTATTGTTCTGAGCCTGTAGATTTTTATTATTGTATGTCAGGCAATTATTTTGGGAATAGCTGTGGCTGCTCAATTTAGCCAATCCAATTGTGTGTTAAGTATTTTGTTTGGTTCATTTTCTAAATTGGGACAAGACAAAATTACAAACTGAGATAGGGGAAAAAATTTAAAAAAGCAAACCTGACAGGTACAGACCATATTTCTCTAAATTTGTAAAACACCATGTTAAAGAGCTGCACTTTGTGATAAATTGCTGCATAAAAAATGTATGTAAAACTTGAGCAGGTGGTTACAAATTTTACCACCCAAGTTTTAGTGTGATATCTTATTGTTACCAGAAGATAACTTACTATGGCCTGCTTCAGGGGAAACTCTGGGAATATAGCTAATGACTGCGCTAGAAATGGAGAATTGTGTTATAATTCTAAATTCATGATTCCAATGTGTCATCAGGGCTAAGAAATATAGAAAAACGAGGTGCCACATTTTTAGCTTAAGCACCCTGAAATAAATGGTATCTTCAGCTAGAATATTACTATACAGAAAATAGGACATTTGAGCCAGGATTAAATCCAGCAGGTTCTGACAGGTTCTGGAGAACCGGTAGCAGAAATTTTGAGTAGTTCGGAGAACTGGCAAATACCACCTCTGGCTGGCCCCAGAGTGGGGTGGGGATGGAGATTTTTCAATATCCTTCTCCTGGAGTGGGGTGGGAATGCAGATTTTGTAGTTTCCTTCCCCTGCCATGCCCACCAAGCCACGCCCACCAAGCCACGTCCACAGAACCGGTAGTAAAAAAATTTGGATTTCACCACTGCATTTGAGGCATTTATCCATTTTGATTCTGAGTTTGATTTTCAGAAAGATACTTTATTGCAGTCTTTTTCATCTTCATATTTCAAAGGGATTAACATTTGTATACAAGCACAAACAAGGGCAGCTACTTAAATACATTTGGCTGAAATAGCTTGATGTTCCTCTCACACACAGCTCAATATGCAGAAGTTGATTAACTAC